TAAAAAGAAAGTTGTTTGTATGTTACTCTGAACAAGAAACCTTTTTTGAAAATTCTTTCATCAGTGAAAACCTACATTATTTTTTCTTTTGTGACAAAGGCGTTTATATTTTATAGCGTTCCAATCTATACTTATAATAAATCTGTAGAGATGTCAATTCTGTACATGAAATATATTTTTAAAATAACTATCAGGGGGTGATTAGTGATCGATACTGATGCCAAAAATGCAATCAGTAAATTTTTTGTCTGTCTGTCTGTCTGTCTGTCTGTGTGTATGTTCCTTATAGAAACAAAAACTACTCAACGGATTTTAACGAAACTTGGTACAATTATTCTTCATACTCCTGGGCAGGTTATAGTATACTTTTCATCACGCTACAATCAATAGCAGCAGAGTAGTGAACGGAAATGTTGGGAAAACGGGAGAAGTTACTCCATTTTTTAAGCTTCCGTCGCGGGTGCAGCCTTAATGGTTAATGTTACATAGAAATCATGTATGACGGAAATATTCTACATAAAATTGTCTAAAAAATATCCCGCAACAGCATATGTCTATCTTTTATGGTTGACTCACAATAACACGTGTAATTATATAAATAAAGTCATTCTTTATAGCACAATCCTGAGAACAAAAACTATAGTTTACACTACAGCTCTACACCGAAGCGAAGCGAGGGCGGGCCACTAGTAAGTAATAAATGTTCCTTGTGTAAAGCCGGTTCAGGTCGCTATTGGTCATATATTTCTTGATTACTTTATCAGAACATTTATATATTACATAATTAAAAGATAAATCACGCATTTCTGATTGGAAGCGGAAGATAAATATATAATCGAGGTGTATACTAACTTTCTGCTTAAGTTTTATTTAATTTCAGCATTTTTTTGAATATATATATTTTCACTCTATACATAGGAACTTCAAATATATGGAGCATGACAAAAATGTGCAAATGAAAATGATTTACAATTTAACTGTAATAGCTTGCATTAGTGTTACCTCGCTACAAATTCAAATGATCCCATTTCCAACATTTGCATAAATAATTGAACAAGGATTGTAGGAAGTGTGCAAGACTTTAACAGGGAAGCTATAAATGTAAGGAAGAACAAGTTTAATGCGACTCTATGGTTGTTGGCAAGTGTTACTAGATCAATTAATGTTGTTTAAAATTGCGTTCATTCTACATTTACAATTTTGCTATTGGTAGTATTCCAATTACAGAGCATAATGCGACTCAATGGCGCACAACGCCGAATATGCTGATGCTTAATTGGAACGTGAATTAGTTTTCAAATGCACCAGCAGAGTGCGCTAAGTTGTGTTGAAAAAAAAATCAATGTTTGTACCTTCATCCATACTTATATTTATTTTATTAACACAGTTTGAATTAACTTTGATTATTTAAAATAAAACTACAATGAAACGAAAGCTTTAAAAAAATTCAACAATAAATAATATAACTAACGATATATAAATAAAACATTTCGATCAATGCCAACTTATAGAAAAAACACTTGTTAATTTTCTGTCACTGCGTTGGCACGATTGCACGCATCACATGAAAACATTACTTTTGAGAGTGCTCGATTGTGTTGCTGTAATTGAAACATTCAACGTTAAGTATTATGCAGCATAATGCGCTCTAGTGCTGTAATTGGAAGACTACCAATATGTAGCACAAAATGCGCGGAGCTTTCATAACAATTTTTATTCAGGACTGACAAAAAATAAATGTTTTTTTTAACAATCATAAAAACACAATCAAGTCGATTTTTATTTATAACTACTGTTTATTCCTGTGGGTGTAAAGTTATAAAAGTTCGATGAGTAAAAAATAATGCCAAGGTAAGTAACCATACTTAATTACCTACAAGCTGAGAAAAAATAACTTGCTTAGTGAAGAATTCAAAAAATTATATGCTCATTCTAACTCTTAAAAAACTCAGATGGCCGACACCCGTTGCCGTATATAGAGTTAGTGCATCTAGTTTTTTTTAAGAAAATTACAAAATAATACAAATAAATAGGTACCTATTTCGCTTTTTATGCGACTGTAGAGGTTTTTAGTACACCGAGCATTTTCATATTTATATTTTAGGCACATAACTGCTAGATTTTTAAATCTAAAAAAAATCTAGAAATAATACCACGCGGCCCAGATTTCGAGTAGGATTCCAACCCACATCTTTCTAGTAAAATTTTCTTTAGGTTTACCAACCATTTGTTATCTTATTCATCGACGACCTCCGTGGCCGAGTGGTTTGTACGCCGGGTTCTAAGGTGTCCTTTACTCGAGAACGTCCCGGGTTCGAACCCAGGGGGCAGATGTTTGTGAAATGAATACGAGCATTTGTACTCCAGTCATGGATGTTTAATGTATTTCTATATAAATATACTAATATATATATCAGTATATATATTCTATCCGTTTCCCTAGTATCCCAAAACACAAGCCTACAGTGCTTACTTTGGGGCTAGGCTAATTGGTGTGAGTGTTCGAAATATTTATCATTTATTCACGCAAAAAAATCGGAACTGACTTGTCTCATTAACTAGTTTAGCTATCACCAAACCGGTGATGGTGTGCTCTGCTCGTTGTATATTTATAGCAAACTGCGTTGTTACACGCTGTCCGTGGTGAATCGAGACAGACTTGCCTTGATGTGTGCAAAAAAATTAAAACATCGCATCACTCGCCAATATTGACAGATATACGCTAAATCCACTTGATAACATTGAGTATCAGGTGTAGACAGTTATCAAAAAGGTCACGTGAATAATGGATGTGACTTAAATTATGCGTATTTAATTTAAACCGAGGAAAAGTTGTATTCTTTGATTGATTTAATCTAAGATTATATTCAATAAAAAAATATGTGCATAAATACCTGATTATGTACATCTTATTTATTAGAGAATCATGAAAAAGTTTAATGAGAATTTTTAAAGATTTGTTCCATTTAGAGTCTAAATAAAGAACTTTCGTGGCCATTAAAGAAACTAATGTGAGAGATTGGTTCTTTAAAATAACTGTAAAAATTGTGGCAAAGTTATAATTAGTCTATTTATATGTCTCCACTTCCCAACTACTGGGACACAGCTTTTTCTAATGGGTGGAAAAGGAGAAATCTATCAAGCGCGCCTACTACAGATTTGTGGGTGGGTGGGTGACGTACCCGCCGAAGTACAGAGCTGCTCAAATTCTTACAGTTCTGGTCACCATCCTGTCACGGCCTTTCGTAGATAGAACGTGCGTGCCACTATGACATCGAGTTGGTCATATACTAAGATACATACAACAGTTAAATATTATAGCCTGCCTGATAAATATATGCGGCCAACGTAGCGATTACACATGCGTATAAGGGGTCTTATTCCCGCAAGGAGGTATAAGCTTTTGTTCGTTTTTGGATCTTCGACACATCGATATCACATCATAGCAGAAAAGACGTATTACTTTTCCGCACTTTTCCGAAAAATAAACAGATGATGGTAGAGTTTCAATAGGAGAGCCATCTTTTTAATATTGTTTGCAAAATTTCCATAAAATTTCGGTTAGAAACTTAAATCTCATATTAAATTTATTATAATATTATTTAGTTTTAACGGGTAAGCTCTTGACGCTCTTTTCGGCCTGAGAGCAAAGATGGGATCTATGGTATAGCGATCTTACCCAGAAGGCGCCTATTCATGCTGGCTTTAAAAACAGTCGGATTATAATGTAGATACTCAGAAACACACACAGACGGAGGCAGGCAATTCCACTAATTCGCTATACGCATTATAAAAGTATTTGGGAAGCGTTCTGAAGATTTCTATGAGGTTGAAAAACTCGCAGTCCAATTAAACTACTTATTAATCAGAGATACGCATAAAAACTGTTTCTTTAAGCTTGTACCGAAAAAACTCACAGGAAACTAAGAACGCTGTTGTAAAAAACAATATTGTATTTAACTAATGCTTTTGACTAAGAAAACCTTGACCACAGTTAACAAAAATAAATGTAGGGTAACCCGAATTTCAAACTGTCAATAGCGTGTGCAAGTGTATGTGAGATGTGGGCGTTGTTACTTTTTTTCAAGCAGCCTTCCGGCTACCGATCTCTCACAGCAACCATTCGGGAAGATAAACAATTCAAGAATATAAATTAGTCGAACGTTTTGAATACTACAAAAACTACGCATATAGCCGGCGGGTACGATCGTAAACGTGCGTGTGTGCACATGAGTACGTGACAGAATCTCGTATGCCTATGAGCTTGTGTGAGTGCATAGATTAACCTCGCGATAAGAGATGTTATGAAAATGTAACATGTGGTTTTGACTGACTTTTTGGGCTTCTACTTATTTCTTATTTTTTATTTTTTTGACTTCGTAGTTGAAGTCCTCCCCATTTGTTTAGGAATCTTTTTGCCCTTATCAATGTTATTTTTGGTTTTCTGTTGTCTGAATGTTCAACTAACCTACGTATTAACACAACATGGCTTTGCTTTTAGACACTGTTAGTGTTAAAAGAAGTAACGAAGTTGTTCTGTTCAAATTTGAGTCAAAATTGAAAATATGCTATCTTTCCTTAATGAGTCATAAGCCAGAAACTATTTGAAGATATAGTTAGCGAAACTTTAGATTATTTTTGGAGCAATTTCATCGGATTACTAATGGAAAATAACTCAAGAAACTATTTATCGTCCTACAAGTAAAATTAACTGATACTATAATGCGTATCAGGAATGCCTCGGTGAGGCTAACGATAAAAATTTATCGCTCTCCGCGGCGCGCAACCTATCTACACGCCTAATCTATGTTTGTTTTGATGTAAAGTGGCACTGTGTGCTGTGTGTTGCGTGTTATTACAACGCAGGCACGCGTGTGTGTGTGCGAGTCGTCGGTAAACGTATTTATTTTAGGCACTCGCTTCACCCGGCTCAGTCCTTCTTGCCTCTTCAAGCGAGCCGTGTCAGTGATTGTGTTTGGACGTTAAAGTCAGAGGAACAAGGTTCAGAATGTCGGCTTCACCCATTGCAAGGCAGGCGACCCACACGCAGGCGATTCCGTCCAGGAGGGTTCTCATTACGGACCCTACGCAGATGCCTGATGTATACTCGAGTACCCCTGGAGGCACCTTGTACTCCACCACGCCTGGAGGTAAAATCTCGCAATTTTTGATTAGTACACACGACGACATTTAATTTTAAGTATGATAATGCAGCCCCTTTCTTTACGATAACTATAGAATAAGACAACACGCGGCCAATTAGTCAATCTTTTTTTCAAATCATAGTGGCTTTAAGTAGGAACTAGGTACCCGCTAGATAGTAGAGCTAGCACGTGCTGCTTGTTAAAAATAAACTTGCGATTTTTTATATAAAGGTGATAATTTCAAAAAACACAAATCAAGTAATTTATTGGTTTTTTATAATGATTAGATTTTTAATCAGAGAAAACAGTTTTTACATCGGCAGTTCAACTTCAATACAAAAACTTTATTGAAGAAAATCTTTTAAAAATAACCTACAGCGTAATCACGAGACTATAATCTGTGTTAATAATCCAAGTAAATTCCAAAAATTGAAAATTAAAATGAAAACCTCTGAACATTTCAAATTCTTTCGAGTTTTTGCGCAGTCAACAGTCAATTAACATCAATATGTGGTGTTTAAAAGTGGCTAGCCTCGACATGCGCCTCATAAAATGTTTAACATCGTTAATTATAGACCCATAGACGACACAACGACCTCTTTGCAACCGAAAAGCTTATACTGTGAGTCAGATTAAAATTCGTGAAGCACTTGTTCAAATAAATTACAAAGCACTTTGTCTGAAAATATACATGCAGTTGGTCGTATACAGTGATGATTGTAATGAACCGAAAAACTTGGGCTCAATTGAAACGATTGAGTTGTGGTTATAGCATGAATCTTATACTAAAATACCTACCTTCCGATATATGAATTATACAACATTTTTATTGCTCTGCGGCTGACCTTGTAAGGGTATATCAATATTAACATTGAGTATTGGTCAGTTCTACATACAGATTTATATTAAACTTGTCTCACGGTAGTTGAAGCACTGAAATGGAAATTAGATACATTGTAGAGACTTTGGTGTCGCATATTGGCTGGCCCGAGTATCGAACCCGGAGTCTTGGTGACGATTATGTCACATCGCAGCCGCGCGCCGGTTTTCTCGGTTATCGACTTAGGAGTTTAATACAAATAATAAAATAGCTATAAAGTTAAAATCGCAACACGCTATAATTGAATATGTACTGATACGTACCCTAATTAAGCAAAACGATCGATGTTTACTCTCAAAATTTTAGTTTAATATTTTTAATGGTTTAAAAATTATACGTACTTTCCCAACCGGTTAAGCAATTAATAAATATATCTATGTAGCTACGTAACGTCTAAATCCAACCTAAGTTAATATTTTTTTGGAACTAAAGTAAAAACGGAAATGTAATTCACTAAAACAACAAAAAAATATTGAGATATGTATGTATTCAAAACATTAGAAGTATGTTTGACCTACGTATAAAATAAATAAAAAAAAAGTTTTCATAAATTTAGGGCTAAACGAAAATAAAAAAAGCTTTCATTGCTACTAATAAAATTCTTGACATGGAATAGGATTGATTGCGGTGTCCTTTAATTACTTAATAAAATTAAATAGGTTACATCAATATTCGCGTGTCTCTATCTGCTGAGAAACCCACTTACTTACATTTTAAAACACATCATACCAAGGTTCCTAATGTGTTCTCATCAGAAACTTCAATGTTTACACAAAAGAAGAAGTTTTCGTAGCAACAGTCAACTATTGCAATATGGATTATATTGTGTATCTATGTTTGCGAATGTTATTATCGACTTAAAATTGATTTGACACTTATCTTGTTATTCGTTTTATCAGTTACGTAATTCTCATCATACTACATATTACTTCATAACATGTGGACGTTATCTAACCTATAATAATTTAATGATACTTAAATTGTGGTTGTCTGATTTACTTAATTTGTTCTATTACGTATGTATTACATGAATTTTTCTATAATACGGTTTTCAATAAACAGTGCTGCATTTAAAACGTAATAAAAGCGTTGCGAATAACCGATTTGGAAAAAAATACATTTATAATCTTTTTGTTGAAGTTGACCATGCGGTTATAGTTATAGGTGTTTACTATTGAGGTGCAAAGGGTGGTGAGGTGCTTCAAATTAGTATTAAAATTTTTTGGTCACCAATCTGATAACCAGCCTTTGTAAAAGTTCCTTAACCTCTACAGGCGCAGACTGAACGCCGCAACCAAGCTACATATTGAATTGTGTCAGTTGACTCTATCTGGTTTTATTATCATTTGACGTTTGAACTTTGCTTCATTTATATTCAAGGTCATCGAAGCTGTGATGTGTAGATTCTTCGAATGCTTCCCTAGCTTAAAATAGCTTTGAGAATGAGGCATGTGGCACATAGGATATTTTGTCCTACATAAGCATTCTTATATACATAATATATTTATTGCAATCCTCCTAACTGTAAATGCGGAAGGGAGTTTGTATGTAACTCAATCATGCAAAAACCATTAAACGGATTTGGATGAAAATTTGGTACGCATATAGTTTTTGACCTGGATTGAGACATAGAATACTTTTATGCCGCAAAAATGTGAGGTTCCTGTGGGATTCCTGTGGAATACACGGTCGGCCGCTAGTATTTATATAAGTAAGTCTATTTAAAAATGATTGGAGAAAAAACATACGAGTAACTCGATAGAATACCGGATAAGAAGTATTTCTTTTACAAAAGCGCGAAGACCTACGAAGAATGATTTTAATTAAGATTTGTAAGTGCGTGTGGCGAATATTGCCTAGATAATATTAGCCATGCCGTCATACATCGAGTCTATGAACTCTGCATAAGACACTGGCTATAAGTTTAGATTGAAACAAATGTTTTAATCTAAGAGACAGTTGCAGACATTTACAGGTGTCAGAAGAATAAAAGCAATGTTTTAATTTAAGACTATACGTAACTACCTATTACAAAAGTTAATAGGTCTGTGGTATAAATGTTCTAAAATTTAAGTTTTTAAATCTCGTACATTATTATGGAATTCTTCGTATATTTGAGTTCGACTCGCGCTTTTATTTTACTTCGACATTACTACGCGTTAACTTAAGCTCTTTAAGTATACGACAGGAACTTAACATTATTCCGGGATAAAAATTGTAGTATTAGGTCATAAAACTATACCTTACTACTAAACCAAAATGTCGTCCAAATTCGTTGAGTAGTTTTTGTGTATTCACACTAATATCACAAGTGTGTGAGTATGTATGTTTGTTACTTCTTCACTTTTAAACATCACAAGCGATTATAATAAAATCTGGTATAGAGTTAGTTGACACTCTGGATTAACACATAGGCTACGGTTTTCTGTGAGAAAATATCCCTAAAAACCGCGAGTAACACCGCCGGGCACAGCTAGTTGAGTAATAGAGATACAAACCTTCATATTCATGATATTTAGTAGGAACGGAGAGCATGGCGATTATTTGAAGTTGTCTTCTCTGAAGTCCTGGGTTTGATTTTTGGCATGCTGAATACGTAATAAATAATTCCTTTCTTTAAGTTAATTATGGGTGGTAGTTGTTGGTGGCACGTGGTTAACTCTTAATATCTTGAAGAGGCTAAGTAGGTCTTTATTTTAATTAATGCAGACTGCACCTATACTTTTGTATAGGTATAAATTGTTCTAAAGTTTAAGAAAGTTCTTTGTCGTACTACACGTAAGTGAAATTCTTTGCTTTAAGAGAGGCATGCAGAAACATTTTTGCAGGCCGACAAGGTGAGGATGGTTGGTGTAGCAGTTTATAACTGCTGTACCAGCTATCTTCGTGTTTGGACTTTATCACCACTTATCATCAGGTGGGGTAGAGTCATTTGCCTACCTCGCTATAAAAAAGAAAAAAAAGTATTTCCTACACTTTAAAAACAGTTCCTATATGGGTAGGTACCTAGGTGTATTAAACTCATCAGTTTTTAATTCGTTACGCGATTACAAATTTCATAAACATTGCGATAAGGCATAGGCGTGATGTTAAAAAAATTGAACTCGGACAACGACCTCGCTCATTTTATTTAAATTACCGTACAATTTACCTATTAATATTATCACGAATAAAGTGGTCACAATATGATGCCTAATGCCAGGGAAGTAGGTTACTCTTGTCATTGGCCGGTGAGGCTAAATACCGAACAGCTTATTGTTTTGCAATCTATGGCAGAGTGCCATAGGCCACTGCACGTTATGACTTACATATTATGTTTTTTTTACGAACGAACTCACAAAGACGTTGAGTGAAGGATATTATAACGCAGGCATCTACAGATGTCCGCATAATATTAAACCTTATTATTCTTTGCTACATATTGGAAATAAAAAAAAACAATTTTTTTTAGAAAAAATTAAGGTTTGGATATTCGTCCTTTAAGTCACGTCTTCGTATATTCCCGGTAGCTTTAGATAAAAAAATACAACTATGTCATTTATTTATTTCTTATTTTCTTTCATTTCAGGCACAAGGATTGTCTATGAGAGGTCCTTCATGATGTCATTGAGGCAGTCCCCGATCTCACAGACCCCACCGAAGTGTTCTTTGCCTGCGGCGCTGTTGAAAAACCACAGTTCCGTACCTCCTGTGTCTCAGCCCAGCCCAGTGCAGAAGAATAAAGCACGCTCGAATTCAATCTCCTTCGACGAGTCGCAGGAAACCTTCAGTATGGATCTCTAAATCTTAGTTATAAGTACTTATAAGTGTTTGCCGTTCTCAAAAATACCTTAATAGTATGCAATAAAAAAAAAGTTTACAATGGCTAAATAAACGTATAACTAGTCTCTTAAAAAAAAGAAAATATCAAATTGTCTATAACAATTTAGCAAAGATTTAAAACATAGAATTAGTTTTTTTCAATTCATTTGATTTCAGAACGTACAATTTAGGGTCGTATTGTGCTTTTTTATTAATTCATCTTATTAGAGTTAGAGAAGACTGCTAAAATTGTTATTAGTTTGGCGAGTTAAACTTTAGTGTTTAAAGCGCGACTGAACCCGCGTTAAAAACGCAATCCTTTGCTGCAAACCATCAAAAATATAAAAAAAAATAAACAAAATAACATAAATACTTTTATACAAAAAAAAAAACAACCAATTTTTAATGGAATGGATGTGATTGTTACTGTTCAAATAAAAGTGGCAAAGGATTAATTGTAAATATTCTAGTTTTAGGGCGTTTGACGCACATTACCTAAATGCTTAGGTGTTTAGTATTTTTAATTATAATATTTTGTATTTTTAAGGAAGCAAGTGCCATAAAACGGAAGTGAATTATGCGACTGATTTTCTTCGTATATGGTATTGCAAGATTATTATTATGTGCAATCTCAAATTTTTACGGCTAATCATTTGAGAGAAGTTAGGCATTTTGATATGTTTTTCTTTGCATGTTATCAGATGATATTACCAATGTTATGACAACATATCAATGTACAACCTATAACATTACAAAAAACACATTATATAATTTTTAAATAAAATAATTTATGTCAGTGAATGATTGAATACTTACATAATTTATAAATTTTCAATTTAATAGTACAATAACTTTAGGTCGCGGCAAAGAGTAACCAAACTTGCGCAGTAGACGTTTTTGTATGTAAAATTGCTACTGCGCAGATTTTCTTGTCTATGCTCGTTGCTCAAGGAGTTGGCCGGGGTGTATACCATTCTACATAGATTCTACGAATTATGACAATGAAAAAAAAATACTACATTATGTTTGTTAACTTGTCGCGTGATAAAAGTAATTTTAATTGTATGTTGAATATAAATAATTTATCATGTTCCAAAGCATTTACTGTTGTGTCTTAAGTATGTAAAATAGGAAATATTACTTAGACTCTCTGATACATATATGTTGTGAGAATGAGATTGTGAATATGTTATGTTTGTATGAGGAGCTGAGCTATCTTGAAGATGTTTGGAGTTTCGCACCTGCCAGCATTAAAAAACGTGAAATGATTTAATGCTCTTTTATTTTACTTAAGTACCCTCTTTTCACCCCCTCAAAGGTTGATTTCTAGGGCAAAAACTATCCTATGTCCTTTCCCATTATTCTAATTCTCTTATACCAAATTTCATCTAAATTCAGCGGTCTGAGCTTAAAAAGGTAACAAACAAAAATACACTTTCGCATTTTCAATGTTTTCTATTGAAGCATTATAAAACGTTAAAGATACAATTTCAAATTACAGAACAAAAGGCAGATGGAACGCACGGAACACGCAAGTGCTCCAAAGCAAATACAAAGTCAAAAGTAAAGACTTTTTGTCTTTATGAACAGTTTTTACAATTATGTTTTTTTATTTATTTTTAAGCATTGGACTGCTAGATGTCTAAATCTAAAGAAAAGTTTTACTAGAAAAAAATCCACGCGGACCAGGCAGCGGACGGGACTCGAACCCGCACCCTTTGCAATCCGGGCGAATGCACTGACCAATTATGCTATCACGGCCCTGATGGTCGCGTCGAAATTTTCCTAGCCTTAAGCTGCAAGGCAGCGCCATCGCCATCATCCATTGTAGGTAACCCACAATGTCAAATGAATACTTTTTCAAGTATTAAACATTTGAAAGAAATGGCAATTATAGATATGTTTTTTATTTATTTTTAATTATTTGACTGCTATGTGTTTAAATCTAAAGAAAAGTTTTACTAGAAAAAAAGCCTAAAGCTAGGAAAATTTCGACGCGGTCATCAGGGCCGTGGTAGCATAATTGGTCAGTGCATTCGCCCGGATTGCGAAGGGTGCGGGTTCGAGTCCCGTCCACTGCCTGGTTTTTGGATTGGATTTTTTTCTAGTATAGCTTTTCTTTAAGTTTTTACAATGTTTGAACAAGGCGGCACAGTTTTGATAAAAACTTATTATTCACGGGACGTATTCACAACACGATGCATTGTAATGTACTAATGTGAGTTTGTATTCGGTTTAGACTTAGTGTTAGCTTTGGAGGCCGCACTTGCGTTTTTCTTGCGGTCCATCTGCCTTTTTTTATTATGTAATCTGAGGATAAAATCCATTAACCTTATTACTATTCCTCTAATATCCTATTAAACGATTGTCAATTAAGCTGTAAGTCAATTAAGAAAATCACGAGTGCTCCTTCGTTGTCTATTAATTAAGACATTAATTGCACTGCTTGTACACGACAAAAACCACGTTGTAACAACTTTAATGACTTAAAAATATTTTCATTGATGAAATGGTATCTACTCTAAACAAATTCCATAATATGGCGCCAGAATACTCATTTTTCATGGAGAAATCGGATAACTCATCAAAAATTAAAGGCACACATTAGGCTATTGTAACTCCAGCTGAGTTACAATAGCTGGAGTTACAATAGCTTGACTGAGAGTCAAGTTAATAAACTGAGCTGATGTTGCTCAATCTAACTTATAAAAATTGAAGAGTAAAAATGTTTTTAAAAAAATTAAACCGCCTTCATATAGGCAAAACAACCCCAAATCAAAAAAAATGTCTTTCATTATTTTTATTTTTAAGCATTTAACTAACTATTCGATGTTTAAAACTACAGAAAATATTACTAGAAAAAAACATTGTGGGTTACCTACAATGCGAAGAGATGGCGCTGCCTTGCAGCTTAAGAAAGGCTAGAAAGAATTCGACACGGCCATCAGCTTAATGGACAGTGCATTCGCCCGGATAGCTGCCTAGTCCACGTGGATTTTTTCCTAGTAATATTTGCTTTAGATTTAAAATATCTTTTCTCAATTCGGCGAGGCATAAATACTTACTCCATCAATGCCTCTTCTGCTGGCCACCGCAGTAATGTACCTACTATATCATTCAATCTTCAATCTAAAGAACTTACCTGTACATCAAAAATTAAATTAACAATAATTTCACCATCACACCATTACATCTTCCACAGCACTTCTTGTAGGCTCCAGATTTAATGTTGTATTTAAGTTTCGAAAAATTTATATCTGCTATTACGATGATGAGTGTGTTGTATGAAATTGTGATTTATCAGATTTACCTCTGAAACAAAAACAAAAACAAAAATTGAATTTCACATTGTAGGATTCAGAATTTTAATATAAAGAAAATATTGCTAGAAAACATTTCCTTTACATTTAAACATCTAGTAATTAAACACTTAAAAAATAAACATATAATAAAGATTTAGAATTATTCCTTCCGAACAAGCGTCAGGCGACGAACAAAAGGGGAACAATAGCAGGTTTTCCGCTCGAATTGGAGTGCCTGTCTGGGGAACCTTACAAAAGATCACAGTATCTTTTGGCGGTGTTGTGTTTGGTTCCAAGGCTCTACGGGTAGGGGATTGGGCCAGGGTAGGCAACGAAGCGAGTGATATTTTTGGTATCGCAAGCGTCTACAAGCTATGGTGCCACTGACCATCAGGAGGGTCATACGCTCGTAAAGTTGGCACCCTTTAAGAGCCCTTTTACAAAATTGCACCGCTGCCGTACTGATCGGCGCGTAGGTAGATTTGCTCTAGTATATATTGCATTTTACGGGTGACGTTTCGAGTCTTATAAAATAATTATTAATGAACTAATTATAAAAATATATACATATTTCAGTAGTTCAATGATGGTAGATTAGTTTTATGAAAGTTTTTGATAGTAATTCTATTTAATTCAATATCAAAATACGAGGTAAACCTGCATTATGTTTTGGTGAAACTCACGGAGGTTAGATGTTTCTTTTGATAATTAATGAAATAGAAAATCAAAATTGTAATACATTATATTACAACAAAAAAACATTTCTAATGTCGTAGTAATTAATTTGATCTAATTTACTGAACATTATTGAGAGATTGTGGCGTTTGAAGTTGTGCATATTATCGTTTTTTCCGTGAACTAACTGCAGTAGAACGATCAGTACAAAAAAAGGAAAATACTCGTAGTATTTGCAAATATTCTACATTAACTTACAATAGGAAGAATAAATCTGCTGTTTACTTATATTGGAAATAGTCAAAATATTTTTTAAAAGGGTAAACGAGTCGCTCAAAAATTACGGTTTTTTGCAAAAAATGTGAAAGTGCTCTTAACATAAAATAAAATCTTCGCGACTAGGATATCAAGCTGAACTGACGACTTCGACGAATAGACTGATAATTCATCCTCTAAAAGAATTAAAATATTTTTTCAAATAATAATCAGCTTATAATATAATGACTGATTTCTGCGAAAATAACAAACATTTGCACGGCGACGCCGCAATCACTCATGTTTGTTTACGCCTCAATCAAGGAGGTCATTCAACCTCGGTGCGTATTACAAAAATCCATGTGCACTCAAAAATAATCTATAAACCCGGAAGCTTAAAGTTTAATATCGGTTTGTGGTGGTAAGCATATCGTGACTATCCCCTTTCGCACCCTCTCCCCTCGATAGCATGCAGTGTGACCAGATGAGGATATTAAAACGCGGTAAGTGTTTTACAAAAAAGCGGATATTCAAACAAAAAAGCGGTATTACATCGGTCACTTAATGATTTGTAGCCTCTTGCTCCCAAATTAAATTTCATTTTTAATAAATATGTTCATATGTAGAAAATACATGATACAATCGCCATGAATGAGTGAAACAGAGGCTATACTTGTTAATTCGAAAAAGCGGAACGTGGATCCGTTGCCAAAAAGGCAGTAGAAAAACCGAAAAAATGGTACGATCTGGCAACACTGAATGGCGTGTAATCTGTCTGGATCTAATCGCTACTGATGTTGGTTCGGTGTGAGACATTAATTGGATTCGACTGGTTGCTGGAAGGCGATGAAGTGAGCTGTGGAATTCGTATGACTAAATAATGATAGCTCAGATCACTCTATTGACCTCGGGTTTCTTGAGGCTTATAGGAGCATAATTCGATTTTATATTAGGCTTGGAACGCGGGCAGTATGTTCGATTGAGGATTTTAACTGTTGCTGAAGTTGGGGTTGTTATATCTTTCCGACTGATTGTTCTACCAAGAGTTTCATGTGCCATTTCTTCTATAAAATTTAAAAAAAAACCAGAACATGTACAAGGTAACTATAAAACTATTATACCAGCCATACACACTACGAGAAATCGTTACGATTAGACTGTACCGTCCGAACGGTACCGATACATCGTAGCGTGTATGTTATAAAACTGCACAGTTTCCTATACGTACTGTTAGACGGAGCACTTAGTTTAATTTAAAAAAAAAACTTTATTTGCTCACAATCACTTTATTTATATATTTATGTTTGTTATAACACTGCTATCACTTTATTGTTCACTACTACTTCCTTTTAGTTTTAAGGATAACGACTCGCGACGGGCTAGTTTACTAGGCCGTTGAATAGTTCCTCAGAGTTTCCTTGCTGAAGGCCAACCGGCAGGCAGAAACCAGGTCCGTTGTTGGGCAGCAATTCCACAAATCAGAACAAGACTAACTGTAATATTGAAATCGCGGGTTTTTATACAAAAAATATTGC